ACGTTGTCTATGGTCACTGACTCCAGATTTTCTCATCTGATCCTCCTAAGCCCTTTCCAGTCAGCTTTTGCCCCAGCCTCAACCGAAACTTCTCTTGGCAAGGTCACCAAAGACCTCCATGCTAACCAACACGGCCAAGCCTCTGTCCTCTTTCTTGACCCCAGAAGCATTTAACATTTCCTCCACACTTGGTCCCCAGGCCACACCGTCCTATCTACCATACTGTCCCTCTTTCTCAGTCTCTGTTGCTGGCTTCTCCTCATCTCTCCCCTCTGAAGGGCTTGGTCCTCAGTGCTTGGTCCTCTTCTCTTCCATTCCTACACTCACTTCCCTGGTCCTCTCCAGTCATCTCTTAAATGCCAGCTGTGCCCATGACTCCCAGTTCTGCATCTCCAGCCCAGAGCGCCATGAACACCAGAGCAGCATGTCCAACTAACATCTTAACACTTCCACTTAGATGTCAGCTAGAGCTCAAAATCATCAGGGCCCAAACCGAGCTGCTGTTCCCCCTTTTAAACCCATTCCTCCAGCTGCCTTCCCCACCTCCATAAGTGGCAAATCCAATCTTCTAGCTGCTCAGGCCAAAATCCTTAAAAGCATCCTTGACTCTTCTCTGTCTAGGGCCCCTCCCCCAGGCTCACCAGCACCCTGTGTGAACTAGAAGAGGGCACCCCTCCGTCCTGGCACAGTACGACTTGCGTGACTTGGCAAGCCAACAGAGCCCTTTGTGAGGATAAGGTGAGCCCCTCCTTCCCGGACTCAGGGCCACTGCAGGCAGAGCATGTTCTGCACCTCAACATCCGCCACATTCCACGCCCTACGTAGCCAGTGGCTCTGTGCCCAACCGCACATGCATTGGCAGCATGTCCCCAGTGGCAGCCTCCCAGGCAGTTCCAGTTAGAAGACAATTGTACTTCCTGCTGCTTGGCGCCCACTTCCTGCCCATTTTCCAAGCCTGGTCCTGCCTCCTCCTGGCAGTTCCTGATAGTCTTTCAATAAGTTCTTTTGCTGCTTAAGAAAACTGGGAACTCCATCAGATACTATCTCAGAATTTTACAAATACCTCCCACCCTTAAAATTAGAAAAACCCATGTCTCCACCTCCCCTAGAAGGGCTCTGGGGAAGACTACCAGAAGACCACCAATGATCTCTTTGTCACCAAAATGAAGGCCACCAGAAACAGCTGTGCTCTGACACTGTCCTGACCCCCCTCAGCAGCCTCCACGACGGCAGAGCCAGAGTGAGCTTCCCAGGACGCAAGCCTGACCATGTCCCTCCCTGTTAAGCACATTTCAATGACTTCCTTTCTCTTCCTTATCTGAGCTTCTTACAGGCTCTGGTGTTTTATCCTAGATCTTCTGAAACAGAACATCCAGGGGAAAAGCCAGGACTTCTCTTTCTCATCATTGTCCTTGGGCACAACTAAGCAAGCTTGGCAAACACTGAGCTAGGGATTCCCAAACTGCTGTGGGAATCGTTTCAGAAAACTGGTTAAAAATAGACTGCCAGGCTCACCCCTTGGAGATTCCAGTTGAGTGGATTTTGGATGGGAGAGACTTTTCCAGAGGATACTGCATAACGAGGGTGGGAATCACTGATCTATATACAGGCGAAGGATAACTCGAGCACGGCTGTTAAAGGCCGCAGGGCTCCAGCCTCTGGGTGGCTCTCACCACTCGCCCAGACTGTCCAGAACCACCCTCCGTGCTGTCTCAACTGAGCGGCTGTACGAAATGTTCCCTCTATCCGGGTGGCCCTGTCCTCTAAGTGTTTCACAGTGAATGCCGACTGGTGCCTCAATTTCAGCTCAAATAAAGGCTCCAGGAAGCTTCCCCTGATCTCCTACGTTAAACACTTGGTCTGTACTCCACAGGGCCCAGTGCACGGCTGCCCACAGCCCTTACCTCAGGACCGCCATTATTCACACACTGGCCTCCACTCCCAATTAGTGAAGCCCAGAACAGTGGGCAGTCTTTGAGTCCCCCTCACGCCCCAACACACAGCACACTGACTGGTACTCAGGCCAATGGAAATGTCAGTTCCCTTCCTGACCCACAGGCAGGTAACTGGCTAGAGGTCCCGGGGAAAGACTGAGTCCAGTGACACTATGGTGCTAAGGCCTGGGTCCAAATGGCAGCTCCCTGCTGTGTCCAACAGGGTCCCTACCCACAGTCCTCACAGGTATATCACAATGACTTTACAGAAAAAAAAAGTGAAATCTTATTAAACCGGTTATCTCATTTAAAACTGCCTGTAAGCCTTAATTTACGGCCTCCAGTGCTTAGAATTTCATTTAA